GAGAAAATCAGGGTCAGGGATAGTTAGGCACCTGATGAATGAAATTCACTAACTGGTAAATGCTAATGTTTGTTGAGTGCTTATTCAGTGCCAGGCCCTGGGCTAAGCATTTTACATTTAACCCCTTCAACAACCCTATGAGAAAACATCTGGGAGGCCATCATCTACCTAAGTTCCTCAATCAATAAATGACAGAGCCTGGGATTCTACCCCTTCCCTCTCCCATCCCTCTTCCCCAGCCCCACAGGTGGGTTTGGTGTCAGAATTTATTACTGTGCTGTCAGGTGGTGAGTATTTGGCTCAATCCCTAAATTTTGGGGGTGAGGGGATAGCTAGTTTTGCTGCTTAGTTACCTCCTGGTTTGCTGCTAGTTACTACGTATCTTTGTGTATATATCTACAAAACATAGCAGGAAATAATAACATTGTTTCAACAATGTTACTATTTCATTCAAACAATGTCATTGTTTCCTTATACCATTGAAGAAAAGGGAATGGATTTTCTGCCTGTCTACCTGGAGTTTGCACGTTCTCCCTTCTCCCTATGTCTGCAGGGGTTTTCTCTGGGCACTTGGGTTTCCTCTGACATCCCAAAGCTGTGCCTATGAGGTGAATTTGGGTGTCTAAATGGTCCCAGTGTGTGAGTGTGACCGAGTACCCTATAAGGTTTATCTGTGATGGTATCGAATGCCTGTTGCTGTTCATCTGTCCAAGGTAGAGGGCTCTGAATCTAGTCCCTTTTAAAGGCCTCATAAAGTGGCTTAGCCATCAACTCCAAATTTGGAATCCAAATTCAACAAAAGCCAGACATTCCTAGGAATCCCTGCAATTGCTTCCTGTTTTGGGGACCCCTCGGGGCCACCATTACCTGCTTTCAGTCAGTTTTCAGCTTCCTTCCTTCAGCTTGAAGCTGAGGTTCCAGAGACTAGCAGGCACCTGTGAAAATCTCCCCTACAAGGAGATTGCTTCGAGGCTACTGTTAATTTACAACCCAGCTGAGCCCGAGATGACGCCAGCCCACTCACAAGAGGGAGCAACAATTCAAGACAAGTCATTGGAACAAGTCATGCAGGCGTGCACTGCCTCACCCCATGCCACAGCTCCCTTCCCCTTTTTCAACCTTTGCACTTCGCTTGGAAATTTGAAGTGATTTCATTAAGGCAAGAATCTAGGCCATCTTCCCCATTGCTAGCTTTGGTCTATAATAAAGTCACTTTCCTTCTACTGTACCTCTATCTTGCTAATTTGTTTTGCAAGTGGCGAGCAGCTGAACCTGTGTTTGGTAGTGAGTGTGAGGGTGTGAGCATGAGTGGGTTCTGCTGGGATGGCATTCTGTCCAGGGCGGGTTCCTGCCTTGTGTCCTGAGCTGCTGGAATGGGCTCCAGCCACCAGAGACCCTGAATTGGAACAAGTGGGGTGGAAAATGAATGAATAAAAATTATCTAGGCCGGGCGCGGTGGCTCAAGCCTGTAATCCCAGCACTTTGGGAGGCCGAGGCGGGTGGATCACGAGGTCAAGAGATCGAGACCATCCTGGTCAACATGGTGAAACCCCGTCTCTACTAAAACTACAAAAAATCAGCTGGGCATGGTGGCGCGTGCCTGTAGTCCCAGCTACTCAGGAGGCTGAGGCAGGAGAATTGCCTGAACCCAGGAGGCGGAGGTTGCGGTGAGCCGAGATCGCGCCATTGCACAGCCCTGGGTAACAAGAGCGAAACTCCGTCTCAAAAAAAAAAAAAAATAATCTAACAAATGTGTAAAGTATGGTAATCATACAAATGCAATTTGAGATCCTGCCACTGTACCCCGACTTGGGCAACAGAGCTAGACTTTGTCTCAAACAAACAAACGAACAAAAAAGTTTGTTTGCCACCCTGGAGGGGTAGCACTGAAAGGGGAAATAATTAAACTGAATTTTCTAGGAAAATTGTCTCAGAATGTCCCTGAAAAGCATCTAACAGGTAGGCCTTTTAAAACTTTCATTTAATCTACAAGATCATTTACGTTCAAATTTCAGTAGCCTTTTTAAGAGATCAGCTCTTTGTTAATCACCGATTCTTCCTGAGGCAGAGGTCACCCATTGTAACAGCAACATATTTCAACAGGCAAGACGTTAAATTATAAACCAAGAAGTTAAAATTACCATCCCACTAAAGGGAAGACTACCAAATTCCTAAAAACTTCCAGAAAGGAGTCTTGTTATTCTAAAGATTAAAGTATTTAAAAATGTGTGCAGAAATGGATAAAGCTAGAAGCAGTTCTGAGAAATAGTAAGGAACTTGACCAAGTGTTGCTGAATACCAGGGCATAGAGAGGCTTGTGTACAGCATGAGTACATGATTGCTTCTGGATCTCTTAGGTTGTAGAGAAAGGCTACACCAAACTTTCTGGGTGGCTTTTAGGTAATGAAATGGGGCACTCTGGGTGCAAGACTGCTTATTTCTGAAATTGTGATTTATCAAAGCCGAAGTTCATTTCCCTCCCTGCTCTGTTTCCCAGTGGCTTGAAGAAAGGAGTTTGTGTGTGGCAGAGTCTGAGCAACTGTACATTGGCATTAATGGGGTTGGCTGTGGCAGAGTGGAGGGGGAGGACCTGGGTCCAAAGACCTGGCTTTGAGCCTTGGCTCAGTTATTTACTTATTTGTTTACTCATTATTTAGACAAAATTGTACATATATGTTGCACAATGTAATGTTTAGCTATACATTATGAGATGATTAAATCAAGGCGATTAACATATCCATCACGTTACCTGCTTATTTTATGGTGAGGTACTTTTCAAGAATAGAATACATTATTGTTAACTGTAACCACCATGCTGTACAATAGATCCCCAGAATGTATTCATCCTGTCCAACTGAAACTTTGTATCTCTTAACCAACATCTTCCACCCTTCCCCCAGCCCCTGGCAACCACTACTTCTGTGAGTTTGACTTTTTTTAGATTTCACATATAAGTGAGATCATGCAGTATTTGTTTTTTTGCCCTGGCTCAGTTATTTCTGGCTCTGTGACCTCATCACATTTGTCATCTATAAAATGCCTACCTCCTCTGTTCCACTTCCACCTACTTCACCAGGCTGTTGTGAAAACAAAATGAGATAACGTGTGAATTCTGGGTTTTGGCATTACTGTCACATGTTAGAAGTACTTGTGGGGGACTTAAAATTTTGCTCTTAATTTGGCATCCATAATGAGACATACTTGAGAGGTTTAAAGCAGTAAAGGCCATAAAAGGGTTTGAATTTAGTGAACTCTGTTACTTGGGAACATTTGGAATCATTTAATTTGCCGACTTTTAGGACCGAACTTTCGCATACCTTCTCTATTACTTAAAATATGGTCATGGCTGCCATGACAGAGAGACCTAGAATAGGAGAGGCTTAAACAACCTAGAAATGCATTTCTGTTTCCTGTAACAGTCCAGATATAAGAGGTCTGGGGCACTTGGAGGGTTGGGGTTGGTACATGGAGTCAAGAACTGAGGGGCCTCTATCTTGTTCATGTGGCTGTCACCTCTTCATCCACAGTGGCTGTTCCAACTCTTTTCAACAGGAAAGGGAGGGAAAGAGATGGCCACAGTCACGTCCCTTCACTCACACCCTTTTGAATGGAGCTATTCAGGCGTCCACACTTAGCTACAATGTAGTATTGAGCTCAGCGTCTTGTGTCCAGATGAAATTTTAATTGCTGTGTAAGAAAAAAGACTGAATACTGAAAAGGGGTAGTGAGGGGTGGTGGGTAATGAGCAGTGTCCGTCACAGATGCCTGTGGTTATGTCATTAACTTCTCTTTAAGAAATGTACAGATGAGGCCTGGCACAGAGGCTTGTGCCTGTAATTCCAGCTACTCAGGAGGCTGAGATGGGAGGATCACTTAAGGCCAGGAGATCAAGACCAGACTGGGCAACATAGAGACCCTATCTCTGAAAATACATAAGTAAGAGAGTGCATAGATGCATGGCAGACAGAGAAGTTTTTATTATTCCATTCTGATAATCAACTACAGATAGTACCGTATTTCTTTTATTTTTATTTTCATTTATTTTTTTTGAGACATGGTCTCATTCTGTCATCGAGGCTGGAGTGCAGTGGCACAATCTCGGTTGTCTACAACCTCAGCCTCCTGGATTTAAGTGATTCTCCTGCCTCAGCCTCCTGAGTAGCTGGGATTATAGGCAAGCACCACCACGCCTGGCTAATTCTTGTATTTTTAGTTGCAATGGGTTTTGCCATGTTGGTCAGGCTTGTCTCGAACTCCTGGCCTCAAGTGATCCACCCACCTTGGCCTCCCACAGTGATGAGGTAACAGGTGTGCACCACTGCACCCAGCCAATTTTCTTTTAAGTTTTTATTTTATTATTTTTTGTAGAGATGGGATCTGGCTATGTTGCCCAGGCTGGTCTTGCACTGCTGGCCTCAAGTGTTCCTCCCAGCTTGGCCCCCCAAAGTGTTGGGATTACAGGCATGAGCCACCATGCCTGGCCCATAGGATGATACTTGAAAGGGATGACGAGGATGGTGAGTCTGTTGGCTTAGAGGTTTGAATATTGTTTGTGCTTTTCAGACTTTTTGAAGCCATTTATTATTAACAGAACACCTGGTAGTCCCTTTTTGCTACATTCTAGGCACTCTGCTAGGGGCTGGGGAGTCAGAGATCATGGTCCCTGCTATCTGAGAATCCACTCCATAGAAGAGACAGGTATATTACGCAATGAGTAGAGAACTGTCTGATGTATCCTCTGATGGGAGGCAGTGGGAACTCCTAGGAAAAGACCTGACAAATTTGACAGACCGTGTGTGTGTGTGTGTGTGTGTGTGTGTGTGTGTGTGTGTTGGATGCAGGGTGGGGTAAGGTCACAGGGAGAAGGAGGCTTGATTGGGGTTATGCCTGTACCACCTTGAGTAGTGATGAATCTCTGGGAGTGTGAACTAACTGAATTGATGTTAAGATGCTGTTTTCTAGTGTCATGTTCATGGCTTAATGTTTTGTCTCTTTCTCAGAAACTCAGCGTGGGCATCGGGAACTTTTGTGACAAGGAGCCATGCTGCCCCGATGGGAACTGGCACTTTACCTACTTGCCTCACTAGGCTTCCACTTCTATTCCTTCTATGAAGTTTACAAAGTGTCCAGAGGTAAGGCCTTAAGCTGTTCTGACCTCCTATCAAACAAGGAAACACCTGTCAAAAAAGGAGCAGAGGTAGGAGACTCAGGAAGATGATCCAGTCGTGTCAAGATGACGTGGACCTTGATTTGCTTCTCTCTCTCTCTCCCTCCCTCTCCCTCCGTCCCTCCCTCCCTCCCTCTCTATCTCTCTCTTTCTCTCTCTCTCTCCCTCTCCGCCCCCCCCCTTTTTATTTTTTTGAGACCTAGTTTCGCTCTTGTTACCCATGCTGGAGTGCAATGGCATGATCTCGGCTCACTGCAACCTCCGCCTCCCAGATTCAAGCAGTTCTCCTGCCTCAGCTTCCTGACCTTGATTTGCTTCCCCCTGTCTTGGATAGTTTGAATCAGTGACCTGAGTCCATGAAGGTCTCTACCCTAATCCTGGGGCTTTTAGGTGATGCTGTGGCCTGTCTTCTATAATTGGTGGGTTTGATTCAATGGCTATTGAAGGCCATGGAGGGGATTTGCATTCAGAATTCAAAGTAAATTCTTAAGTTTCTCTTTCATCATGACTCTTTGAAGACATATGAGACCTGGACTTGATTTATCTTCCTGTTCTGCTGTCTTTGGTGTGTTGCCTTGTCTGAGTATTGGGGATGAGTCATCATCAGGTCACATTCCAGCCCATAGGAAGGTGAATGGGAGCCCTCCTTCATTGGGCAAGTGGCGGTTTGGCAAGGACCGCTTGTCACTCCTGCTCACACTGAATTGGCCAGCATTGAGTCCCACGGACACAGCTGGGAGGCTGGGAAGTCGTCTTTAGCTTAGTGGCTAGATGCTACCTACAACTTCTCTCTCTCTTTTTTTTTTTTTTTTTTTTCGAGACCTAGTTTCGCTCTTGTTACCCATGCTGGAGTGCAATGGCATGATCTCAGCTCACTGCAACCTCCGCCTCCCAGGTTCAAGCAGTTCCCCTGCCTCAGCCTCCTGAGTAGCTGAGATTACAGGCACCTGCCATGACAGCTGGCTAAGTTTTGTATTTTTAGCGGAGACAGGGTTTTACCATGTTGGCCAGGCTTGTCTCAAAGTCCTGACCTCAGCTGATCTTCTCACCTCAACCTCCCAAGGTGCTGGGATTACAGGTATGAGCCACTACACCTGGCCTAAAACTTCTTATTTTATGGAAGAAAGAGGAAGAATTTTGGAGGACCATGAGCAGTCTCTGCCATAGGTAGGGAGAGCATCCTAGAGGTGATAGTGATTACTGAGCCTTCTCTTAAGAAGAACAAGAGTCAGCCAGGTAGAGAAGTGAGCAGAGGGACACTGAGCAGAGATAAGTTTGCCGGCAATTGCTGTTGGGGATAGCTTATCATGATCAGAGAACTACAAACCTCTTAGCAGGACTACAGTGCAGAGTGTGATGAGGGAGTGAAAGAGCTGAGCTTAGATCAAAGAGCAGGGATAGGCTGTGAAAGACCTGTGTTGTATATTTGGTCTTATCTTGAAGGCAGGACAGCACATTGAAAGTAATGCAGTCATTTAAAATGACAAAGGTAGTTTTTGGGAAGTGCAGTTGAGAAGGCTCTGCCTTCAGCATCTGCTACTCTATGGATCACCACGTTGACCTTCCTCTCCATTCTGAACGTGTCCCACTCATAGCCATGGGCTTGGTTGCAGGAAGTGACCATGTAAAGTAGACGAGCAGTGTTCTTTGGTCAAGACTGTCTAAGTAGCTGCATTCCCTTGCTGGAGCCTCTGAGCTCTCAGAGCCTACGGAGAAGGAACTAACCTGCTCTGTGTCAGGCACTGTGTGCTAGATATTTCATGTACCTTGTCTCACTTGATCGTTAGCACAGCCCTATGAGATAGGATATTATTTAGAAAACAAGCTTGGCTGCAGAAACTTAGCCTTCAATGTAACTGTAGTCCACGGCTAGTGTGGTGTCTAGCTAGCTTCAGAGACCCTGGTTCCTTCTCCCATGTTCCCCTGCCGTCCTCAGTATGTTGTCCTACCTTTTGTAAGGTAACTGCTCCAGCTCTTGTTGTTGTGTTTGCTTTTTGACCGGCAGGAAGGATGGAAGGGAAGGGGAGGACAGGCCCTCGCCCTTTCAGAACTTGACTTGAAATTTGCTTATGCCGGGCGCGGTGGCTCATGCCTGTAATCCCAGCACTTTGGGAGGCCGAGGCGGGTGGATCACGAGGTCAAGAGATCGAGACCATCCTGGTCAACACGGTGAAACCCTGTCTCTACTAAAAATACAAAAAATTAGCTGGGCATGGTGGCACGTGCCTGTAGTCCCAGCTACTCAGGAGG